AAGTGCAAAAGTTAATCTCAAAAGTGAATCAAACACAAACTAAACATCTATCCAAAAACTATCCAAAAACATAGTAATGATACTAAACAGAGTGAACAAACAAACAAACAAACAAACAAACCAACCAACCAACCAAACACGATGAACCAGGGGGGTATTCCAGAAAGCTGGGTTAACTTACCATCTGCTAAAACCTAAACTCTCGGTTGATTTACCCAAAACCTGCTTACCGCGAGTATGTTGGTTTCAAAACAGGTGACAAGAGTTAGTTAAATCAACCTCCTGAAGATAACCGCGGGTTAATGCGCGTGCACGGCACACACCTGAAGGCATTTTCAGTAGATCGCCGAATTCACGAGTCACCATGGAAAGTCACGGTGAGAAAAAAAAGGCAAAGCACTTTACAGAGGCGAAGCTGGAGGTTTTAAACACTGAGATTACACATCTGCTTCAACGAAGGAAAGAAATATAGAATAAGAAATAGATAAGAAAAGAAAAAATAAATAATAAGAAATTTTGTTCATTAAAATACACATGCCACCCTCCATTTTATTCATTGTAATGAACCATTAAACTTCTCTTTAACATCCTTTTGAGTATGTTGTGTAACCATTCATGCATTTATTTTTCTTGCCATTAATTTCTTAAGGCCACAATATGTGTATTGACTAATAAAAATTATAGAAATTGTAATCTTTCTGGAGCTAGAACTCTGTCCAAAGTCATTAAACACAGAAAAATTATCATAAAAGGTAATATTTAATTACTGGAGCTCTTTATTTAACACTCTAGAATATTCTTTCTGACATGCAGCTAATAGAAAGAGGCCTGTCTAACTGCTGTGGGCCACCAGGAGCTGCTGTGTCCTTTAAAGGCTCATCAGTGGTTGAGTTTTTGACTTAAACCACACAATCTGTCACTGTTGTAAGTGATTGTTGTCAGGTAGCTTTAGGTTCTTTTTATGCTTTTTATTTTGCATGCAGACGAAGTTCCTTCTGCCTCAACTAACAAGCAGTGTAGGAATTTGTCTGCACTTTTCCATATTTGAATATTACTCTTTGATCACAAAATCTTTTATATCTATATATTTAAATTCTAAAGTAGCTGTATAGGGTCCATCTTCAAAGATAAATAAAGTCACATGAGCATCACCTTAAGGTGAGAAATGTATATGAAAAAATATGTTACACGTTGAAAGGTGTGTGTATAAAGCAGTGTAAAAAAATCATTCATTTTATTTCAGGAAATTAAGAAATTAACAGACCAAACTATTTGATTAAACATAGTTTTTTGACAAGTTTTATTTCTAAGCACTCTTCCATCTCTTTTGTCTGCTTGGGTCACTGAGATTTCCTCTGGGTCAGGCTGCAGGTAGGGTGTCATCGTATAAGGCAGAAAAGGGTATCTTTTGTCCTCCAGCAAGTAACAATGTAGTGCCCAGTAATGATTCTATTGAATAATACAAATATAATAAAAATAAATATTGTGTAAAGCAACATTTGCTTTATAGTTTTTTTTTTTTTTTTTTTTACTATATTTGTATTATACACTTGAATCATTACTTCCTGAAAATCAGCCATTTAGCCTCAACATATAGTGATGTGGTGGGTCATCACATATGAGCTGGTAAGTGGAAGCAGTAATGAGTTTAATAGTTGAAACACCAAAAGATTAAGGACAGAAAATTAAGTTGAACCAGCACATTTATATGGACAGATTTCATATTATCAGTGTCCTTTAGTGACTGATGGAGCTTTAAAATCGGCTACAATTAATGCACACAATAGCAATTAGAAACCCTGAAAAAATATTACATAAAAAAATGTAGGTGTGTGTGTGTGAATGTATACATAAGAACGACGTCCTACATCTTAAAATTATAGATATATTTTCCAAAGGATTTTCCATATATTTACAAAGGACAAAGCTGCCACTTCTTATAATATTATACAGAAAAATGTGAGGGTGCAGAAGAAGAGAAAAAACAAGATCTGTATGTTAGATTCGAACTCGCTCCGCTGTGTGCTCCGTTGCTCATTAACGACACACTGTCCATACACTATTGCCGTGCTCTGAATCAACTGTGTAATGATACGCAGTGATTTATGCGTTCCAGAGAGCAGGTTATGTGACATACCCGGGTAAGTTTGAGAGTAAGTAGGTGGATAACCTCAGCTTTGGTTCCAAAATCGGAGGTAACTTCTGGGTTTGTTAAGTAGCCATAGCAACTTACTCTCTGAACATAACCTGCTCCGGAGCAGGTTATGTTCAGAGAGTAAGTTGCTTTGTTCCAGAGTTTGTCTGTTTCAGAGAGTTTACTGAGCATTGCGTGCTCTTTTGATGAGAATATTTATGGATGTGGACACACAGATACAAGTTTTTTCGTTGTGAGAGGGTTATAAGTGCATAGTTTTTTTCATAACCAAATTCATAATGTTAATGTATTTAACAAACCTTTTTGAAATCAAATGTGACAAACCGCGGGTCTGGGCTTACCATAAAAATCATTTAGTGCAGCTCTTTGTATTCGCGTCAGGGCATTTTAGGCAACTGTACAATGTGGCAGTATGACCACCTGTACAGTATGCCTGGCACTGAACTGTTTTTTACACTTTTGTACAGTTCCTTGGTCATACATTACTGCGTATGATTACACAGATGATTCAGAGCATGGCAATAGTGTAGTGGACAGTGCGTCGATAAAGAACAACGGAGCGCACAATGGAGCGAGTTCGAATCTCACTTACAGATCTTGGGTTTTTTCTCTCCTTCTGCACCCTCACATTTTTCTGTATAATATTATAAGTGGCAGCTTTGTCTTTTGTAGGAAAATATATCTATAAGATGTAGGACGTCGTTCTTATATATATATATACACATTCATGCACATACACCTACATTTTTTAATATAATATTTTTTTCAGGGTTTCTAAATGCTATTGTGTGCATTAATTGCAGCCGATTTTAAAGCTCCATCAGTCACTAAAGGACACTGATAATATAAAATTTGTCCAAAGTATAAGTGTGCAGGTACAACTTAATTTTCTATCCTTAATCTTTTGGTGTTTCAACTATTAAACTCATTACTGCTTCCACTTACCAGCTCATTACACACCCCACCTCATCACTATATGTTGAGGCTAAATGGCTGATTTTCAGGAAGTAATGATTCAAGTGTATAACACAAATATAGTAAAAAAAAAAAAAAAAACTATAAAGCAAATGTTGCTTTACACAATGTTTATTTTTATTATATTTGTATTATAAAATAGAATCATTACTGGGCACTACATTGTTACTTGCTGGAGGACAAAAGATACCCTTTTCTGCCTTATACGATGACACGTACCTGCAGCCTGACCCAGAGGAAATCTCAGTGACCCAAGCAGACAAAACAGATGGAAGAGTGCTAAATATAATTAGTCAAAAAACTATGTTTAATCAAATAGTTTGGTCTGTTCATTTCTTCATTTCCTGAAATAAAATGAATGATTTTGTACACTGCTTTATACACACACCTTTCAACGTGTAACATATTTTTCATATACATTTCTCACCTTAAGTTGATGCCCATGTGACTTTATCTTTGAAGATGGACCTTATACAGCTACTTTAGAATTTAAATATGTAGATGAAAGATTTTGTGATCCAAGAGTAATATTCAAATATGGAAAAGTGCAGAAAATTATTACACTGCTTGTTAGTTGAGGCAGAAGGAACTTCGTCTGCATGCAAAAAAAGAACCTAAAGCTATCTGACAACAATCACTTACAACAGTGACAGAGTGTGTGGTTTAAGTCAAAAACTCAACCACTGAAAAGCCTTTATTATAGGACACAGCAGTTAGACAGGCCTCTTTCTATTAGCTGCATGTCAGAAAGAATATTCTAGAGTGTTAAATAAAGAGCTCCAGTAATTAAATATTACCTTTTATGATAATGTTTCTGTGTTTAATGACTTTGGACAGAGTTCTAGCTCCAGAAAGATTACAATTTCTATAATTCTTATTAGTCAATACACATATTGTGGCCTTAAGAAATTAATGGCAAGAAAAATAAATGCATGAATGGTTACACAACATACTCAAAAGGATGTTAAAGAGAAGTTTAATGGTTCATTACAATGAATAAAATGGAGGGTGGCATGTGTATTTTAATGAACAAAATTTCTTATTATTTATTTTTTCTTTTCTTATCTATTTCTTATTCTTCGTTGAAGCAGATGTGTAATCTCAGTGTTTAAAACCTCCAGCTTCGCCTCTGTAAAGTGCTTTGCCTTTTTTTTCTCACCGTGACTTCCCATGGTGACTCGTGAATTCGGCGATCTACTGAAAATGCCTTCAGGTGTGTGCCGTGCACGCGCATTAACCCGCGGTTATCTTCAGGAGGTTGATTTAACTAACTCTTGTCACCTGTTTTGGAACCAACATACTCGCAGTAAGCAGGTTTTGGGTAAATCAACCGAGAGTTCAGGGTTTAGCAGATGGTAAGTTAACCCAGCTTTCTGGAATACCCCCCGGAGCAGGTTATCTTCAGAGAGTAAGTTGCTATGGCTACTTAACAAACCCAAAAGTTACCTCCGATTTTGGAACCAAAGCTGAGGTTATCCACCTACTTACTCTCAAACTTACCCGGGTATGTCACATAACCTGCTCTCTGGAACAGCTCCCGGGTATAAGCTAGCAGAACTGTTGCTATGACAACAACTCTCGGATCAGCTTTGAAGAACGAAACGATCCTGGATCGTGTCAAATCGTCAGTATCCAAATCCAGCTAACTGTGTAATCCACGTAGGAAGAACGGAGCCCTAAACAGAACATTGAAAATCCAAAGGCAAACTAAACACAACATAACAGGGCTTATAAAGAGAGAACTAATTAGACAATGAGGGACAGCTGGAAACAAGGAGTGATCACATGACTAGGATACAAAACACAAAAACCAAAACAAAAACTGGTGCCCTTGAAAACCACCAGAGGGCACTGCAGCAGGTGTGACAAGCACTGCCTGGTGCCCTCCAAACTGTGGCATGGTGGAAAGTGGCCTTGAAGAATTCTGTGTTTGGGAAGACAGAACAAATAAGTCATTAAAATAATTTAACCAGTGCAAAAGAAAGAGGATAACAATTTTTGTGCAATCCTCCGAAGATGCTGAACATATCATTAACATTCCAAATATGCAATTTTTTATTATTTGACTGTTTTCAGAAAATAAAATTTAAACTGTTCTTTCTGTGTGGAGTTCACGTGAGTTTCCTCCGGGTGCTCCGGTTTCCCCCACAGTCCAAAGATTTGTGCTGTAGGTGAATTGGGTAGGTGAGTTGACTGTAGTGTATGTGTGTGAATGAGTGTGTATGGATGTTTCCCAGAGATGGGTTGCAGCTGAAAGGGCATCCGCTGCTTAAAACATATGCTGGATAAGTTGGTGGTTCATTCCACTTTGGCGACCCCGGATTAATAAAGGGACTAAGCAGAGCAGAAAATTAATAAATTAATGATGTTTTCAGAAAAATCCTATTTACACTTTTATTGTTTAATTGTTTGAAAAAGTTTTGTCTTTGATTCATAAAGCCAGCACAATGATTTATTTGTGAAAACTTATTTTAACATGCTTTAAATGTTTTCATGTTTTTTACAAAGAACGTCTCAGGGGAAATATAACTATTTAAAATTATTTTCTTTTAACATGCTTTTTAATAAATATGTAAGACAACCTTGATTTTCAAATATGTATCAAGACATTAATAGGATGAAATATAATTTTTTACATTTCAACAATAATGCAAAATCACATAAATAGGCCAAGGGTGTAAAACGTACTCAAAAGTTATAGATATGGCATGGAGTTTGTCTTCAACAAGTAGCTCACCAAAAACAACATCTTTAAATAGTTAAAAATAAAAAAAGTAAAAGTAACCTACAGCAAATATAAAAGTGAGACAGGAGATTCTCTTTCTCACATTAAATCATCTACTGAATGCGATGTTAGATGAATAGCATAAACTGTTGTGTCACACAGACATACAAAGTGAGAAAATTAACCACCACATCAGCATAGGCCTAAGACAAGTACAAATGCAATCCACTGGAAGTCAAATACTGCAAATTAATTGTCACTTATTATTAACACGCAAAGACAAAAGCAAAAGCAATTAGATGAGAAAGTGTACAGAGAGTGTAAAGTTCTGAAAATGTATTAGTAAACAGGCTCATCAAAAGTAATATTTATCCAAGTTCTAGTTAAACTAATTGTCTATTGATTACTCCTCAGTAAGTTTGAACTTAACATTGATTATAGTTAGTCAGGAGAATTTGGAAACATACATTAACATTCTTCTTTTTGAAGTATATGAAAGGAACAACATAAAGATATGTGTTGATCTTATCTCTCTGAGGACATGAAATCAATTATTTTAGGTGTCGGTTAACCTGTGCTATTTAAAGATCTTAAAAAAAAGAAAAACTCTTAAAAAACATACATGTAACTGCTTAAAAATGAAATCTAAAAATATGAAGTAACCAGGTTTAGAAGTGACCTCCTCTTTTCTTCCTTATTTCCAACAATATAATTTCATTTCAAGACTGAAATAATTGTTGTACAATAAATACTAAAAATACAGTAAAAAATAAAAACTGATAAATTCAAAAATTCCACTGTAAAACAAGTTGGTGATTAATTTTTCATTATCCTGTACTCTGTCAGTCTTGAATAACATGAATAACTTGATTTGTTCTTTTTATTAACATTTCAGACGCATGTTTGTTCATTTTCATTGACAACAGAAACCAAGAATGAAAGTATGTTGATGAATGCCTGCCGTACGTCAGGCGTTCCAGGAACTCCTTGTGTATATACAGTAAATGGTGATGCATGTTTTATACAAAAGACAGTACAAAAAATTAAACAGATCACACCTAAATGAGTACAACAAAATATGACCAAAATATTATATTCTATAACATATTATAGATATTATAGGATTATTAATTAAATGAAAGAGGCGACGCAGTGGCATAGAGGGTAGCACATTCGCCTCACAGCAAGAAGGTCACTGCTTTAAGCCTCGGCTGGGTCAGTTGGCATTTTTTTTGTGTGGAGTTTACATGTTCTCCCCATGTTCGCATGGGTTTCCTCCAGGTGCTCCGGTTTCCCCCACACCAAAGACATGTGTTACTGGTAAATTGGGTATAGTAAAATTGACTGTAGTGTGTGAATGAATGTGTATGGATGTTTCCCAGTGATAAGTTGCGGCTGAAAGGGCATCCGCTGAGTAAAACATATGCTGGATAAGCTGGCGGTTCATACCGCTATGTGATGACCCCAGATTATTAAAGGGACTAAGCCAAAAGGAAAATTAATGAATTAATAAAATGAAAGGCCAATTCAATTGTGGAACCTGACAATCTAACGTCCATCCTTCAATACATTTTGCACTTCCCACATTCTGTGAAGTTTCTCAGAATACTTAAACAGTTATAGAAAAACAGTTGATGATTGTGTTTCTGTATTTCCATTTTCCTCTCAGGTTTTAGGAAGAAAGTGTTTTTGTTTATGATGTAACTCTGTAAATTACCTGGGGAAAGAATCACTATACTTTTCACTAAACGTAAAGAATATTTATTTACTTATTTATTTGTTTTCATTTGTTCTCATTGAGATTCATTAACAGAGTTTTTTTTTCCACAGTTGCAATGTATATACTGTATATAGCCCTTAACTCATTTTGCTCTTGATATTGTGTTTGCATGATACGTTGTGTTTATCGCATGCTGGATTATTCTTTTCTTTAAATGTTGGATTTATTAATGACTAAAGTCACATTATGTTTAGGTCTTCACTTCCTTCATTAACCCTGATGTAACACTGATACATGCTTATTTTTTTTAAAACTGTATAATACATGGGGCGACACGGTGGCTCAGTGGTTACTTTCATTTTAAACACATTTTCAGTGTAAGTTTCGTTTGAGCTGTAGAGGACGGTTGCTGGTTTCCTGTAAATGCCTCACCTAATCGGAAAATATTTGCATGCTTAAGATTCCTGAATAAGCCAATGAACAATTGGTAAACACTAGGATTTGATGAGCTCAAAGAGATCAGATCAGTTCATCTTATAATATTTAGTTTTGTGTGAATACAAATAAGAAAAACTGAATTTGAACATCCCATTTCCTTAATTAGAAAATCTCTCCAGAGCTGTAAATGAAGTTTATTTGATAATTTAAAAAAAAAATGGTAATGCGACGCAGTGGCGCAGTGGGTAGCACGTTCACCTCACAGCAAGAAGGACGCTGGGTCGCTGGTTCGAACCTTGGCTCAGTTGGCGTTTCTGTGTGGAGTTTGCATGTTCTCCCTGCGTTCGCGTGGGTTTCCTCTGGGTACTCCGGTGTCCCCCACAGTCCAAAGACATGCGGTACAGGTGAATTGGGCATGCTAAATTGTCTGTAGTGTATGTGTGTATGTTTCCCAGAGATGGTTTGCGGCTGAAGGGCATCCGCTGCCCTGTGTAAAACCTATGCTGGATAAGTTGGGGGTTCATACCCTGGCAACCCCTGATTAATAAAGGGATTAAGCCAATGGAAAATGAATGTATAATACATCTTTGTTTACACCTCATGTACTGTATATTAATGGAAAGTACAATCAATATTTTGTGAACAAAACTGAAAAGTTGTAAATTATGTTTAATCTTGATATAGTTCTTCAAAGCTCAAATTAAACAGTGTAACCCAAAAAAGATATTCATACATTCATTCATTCATTTTCTTTTCAGCTTAGTCCCTTTATTAATCTGGGGTCACCACAGCGGAAAGAACCGCCAACTTATCCAGCATATGTTATATGCAGTGGATGCCCTTCCTGCCACAACCCAACACCAGGAAACACCCATACACTCTTACATTCACACACATACACTTTAGCTTATTCAATTCACCTATAGCGCATGTCTTTGGAATTGTGAGGGTAAACCGGAGCACCCAGAGGAAACCCACACAGTAACGCCAACTGGCCCAGCCAGGGCTCGAACCATGCAGCGACCTTTTTGCTGTGAGGTGTTCATGCTACCCACTGCTCCACCGTGCTGCCCCGGATATTCTTTCAAATAATGTTAAATATTTATTTTATTAAGTAATTGTGTTTTTACTTATTCCATGATAAATTTTCTCTTCAGAGTCAAGTCAAGTGTCAAAGGACAGAGATGAAATAAAGACTCAAATGCAGTAAGAACTAATTTTTTTATTTAAAAGTGAGTGCCACAGCAAAAATGCAAAAGACAATGAAGGAAATCTCAAAGTGAATGTCCATGAGAAATGATTTCCTCTAATTGTCGCACTTATCCTTTTTATTTGTATCCAGGACTGCCACAACTTTTTAAGGTTTGTTTTTGTTAGTTTAATGTCATATGAAAGCAATAATTTAAAGTGTTGGCCTCACCTGTCTGAAGACATCAGATCTATTATGTTAGTGTGCTTTTCAAAGATTTATGCAAATAGTTTTTGAATAGGTGGGGCATTTACAGGAAAACAGTCCTGTACGGCAAAAACAAAACTTACATGGGAACTTATATAAATATTACATTATTATAATATTTTTACATCGATGAAGCATGTTTAACGTGCAGATTCTAACACTTAATAGATCACGTTTTAGAAGTTGGATTAAAAATTTGTATTGCACAAAAATATTTTATAACTGTTTGTATTAGGTCATTTCATACATGTTTATTTCAGACTTATCAATGTACTGAAGTTTTTGAGATATTGCAGTTTTAGTTTTATATTAAAATCAACAAACCAGAAATTGCATGTAAAGTTTCGTGCAATGTTTAAAAGTTTATCAAGATGAAGAGAAACAAATTCAATGAAGAGAAACTGAAACTAGTCTTTTCGTCAGGGACACACCCTGACGGACATGCATTTATACCTGCATTCAGGAAGAAGAAATCAGGTTTAGAAAAGACATCAGAGGTAAGGCACAACTTTTACCTGTTGAAAATGTGTTTGGTGCTAATTGGTCTTTTATAAAACATCCCCAAAATTTTTGTAAAGTACTGACTTTTTAATGCCAATAGAAGTGTATCTGTATTATGATGTATTTTCTATCCTTCTTTGCATGTCTTTGTTTCTGACTAGGCTGTTTGATTAAATTAGTAATTTTTGAGAATTGTTTAGGTGCAAACATGTTCAGGTGGGCTGAAGATGACTTGGCTGCTGGTGCTCCACCATGTCTTCAGAGTCAAAGCCAACCAGCAGATGACAAAATCTACATCATGTATCATGGCACTACTAGAGCGGCTGCAGACCAAATAAAAAAACAGGGGTTTTGCCAGTCTAAGGATGGCATGCTTGGACGTGGCGTCTACCTCAGCCGAGATCTACAGAAGGCCTCTAGATACCCTGTGGAGCTGCCTGAGGACAAGAGAGTGGTGTTGAGAGTGAGGGTGAATGTTGGTAGAGTTATAAAGATTGACCATCAACGTCATCCACTGCAGAAAACCTGGCATGATAAAGGGTACGACACTGCCTGGTGCCCTCCAAAATGTGGCATGGTGCGAAGCGGTCTTGAAGAAGATTGTGTTTGGGATCCAAAACGTATCCAGGTCATTGATGAAATCTGCCCACAAAAGACAGCAACATATTGTGGCTTTGGTGACCCTTATAAGTGAACCTTAATAAAATGTTCTACAATGTTGTTTGAAAACATTTTACCAGCTGTTGAAGATGAATATAAATAAAATAATCCTGATTGTAATACAAATGACTGTAATACAAATGTAAACAATGAATGTATTAAACATATCTTCACGCAAATATCTTTGAGGTAATGATCTTTTTTATGATTTATTTTTATGAAATAAAATAAAAAGAAACTCGTTGATCCACACAAACCATCAACTTGGAGTGATAAGGTTCTATCTGCGTTCTGAATGATTTTGAGATATTGAGCTTCAAAGCTTTTGCATTCCATATAGCAAACAGTATGTGTGTAACATTTGTTTTTTAAAATGTAAACAACTTATAAAAACATATCATTATGTAAATAAGTTGTCATTTATTAAAATATGTCAATAACTCAGTTTTGACAAAAATGTCAGATAGAACCTTGTAATTCTAAGGTGACGAAACCTATACTGTAAAATAAAATGAATAGAAAATTGAAGTAAAACAGGTCCTGTATTGATCCCCTTGTCTTCCCCCTTTCCAAAAAGTGAAACCTATAGATCTTCTATTCGTTGCCAAAAGAATTTCAAGTCTGATATGGATTGGTGTAAATACTCATCAAGTACCATTGAATTAAATCTGATATACTGTAGAAAGACTGAAGGGGTATTTATATATAAAAGTGTTTATTTAATTTAATATTCCACTATGATGGAAATTATTTCCTATCCCTAGTATACTTTGCCAGACTTGAATAATATGAATGAATTCATTTGATGAGAAACTTATACATAGAGTACATTTTGTTCATTTTCATTGATAATGAAACTATTGTTGATGAATGCCTGCCTTATGTCAGATATTTTAGGAACTCTTTGTGTACGTACACTCTCAGAAATAAAGGTACACAAGCTGTCACTGTGGTGGTACCTAAAAGGTCCATATTAATACCTCAAGGGTACATATTAGTACCTAAAAAGTACAAAAGGGTTCCTCTTAATTTTTTATAATTTTTGTAATTTTAATTTCCTATAAACATCAGTTTCATATCAGCTGATCTCATGCACCCTAAAACGTTTTGCTTTCATACTGCTTAACTACTGCCAAGAAGCTATTGCTACTGTTTTGGAAAAAAAAGGAATCCCCTACATGTAAACTGAGGCTTGGAGAAATTGCCTCTATGTTACATTTGGAGCGAATTAGATACTATTTGAAAAGAAAATTTGGAATCCTTTTATCTGTTACCTCAAAGAAAAAAAAAAAAAACAACTCATAATAATGCATAATTTCTGTAATGTTTTAACATGCTTTGTCATCATTGTTCAACCAGGTCTTTGTAACAAGTTTGCTTGTTGTGGGTGGGTGCTTTTTTAATTAATTAATTTATTTTATTTATTTATTCTTATGATTATTATATTTTCCCTCCTTTTAATTTTTCTTATTGGCTGTGCCTAAGTTATGTGTGGACAAAATATGTAAATAGAATTCATTTCTTCTTGAATCTGTCTTTAATAAAACTTATTTGACAAAAAAAAAAAAACTAAAATGCTTTCATTGCTGTTTCTCTTTACCTTCTCAGAAAAAGACTTAGCAAGATATGACTCAATACTTAAAGAGCCCATATTATACATGAAATAGGGTCATATCCTGGTTGTAAGGGTCTCCAACAACAGTCTAATATGCATGCAAGGTCAAAAAACACTTTCATGGTCTTATAATCTGCATTTATTTTTAGCTAATTATCCCAGCGACTCCTGTATGAATCGTCCAGTGATTCATTTGTTCCCAAACCCCTCCTTAGCGCGGAGCTAATCTGCGCTGATTGGACCGATGACAGTCTGTCGCGATTGGTCGACTGCCTTCAGTCAGAGAGGGAAATGGCCAATAGCTAATCAGCAATTTAAAAAGTAATCACAGTTCATACACGCTCGATAGTGTAGACGTGGATTTTAGCTGCCACACTATGGCGAGTGGATAGTGCCACGGATAACCGAACGAAGGAGACAGTCGTGTACTCGCCATACCACACACACACAAAAACACACACACACCTCCGGATGACAACGCTCCCGCTTCCGCCCGCACCCGCCAGGTTTTAGCCTGAGAACCCGCTCCGTTTTCTGCCCGCCGCGCCCGGTCCCGCTAGAGCGGAGAACACAACCAAAAATCACCCAGTATACAGTCCAGACAGCCAAGCTGTCTTCGCTCTCGCTCTCTCTCTCTCTCTCTCTCTCTCTCTCTCGCTCTTTCTCATACGCGCGCGTGCGCACTAACACACACACAAGCACCACGCAGACTCTCTCTTTCTAATTCACATAGCAATATCCGTGATATTGCTAGACAGCCCGCTCCCGTCCCAAATTAAACCCGTTACCGACCGCTCCCGCGATTTATTCGGAAATTTATTCCCGCGGCTGTCCCCGCGCCAGATTTCTGCGGCGCGGGAATAAATTTCCGAATAAATCGCGGGAGCAGAACTCTAGCACGGAGCTCCATAAACAAACAGCACGCGTCGCGTTTTTAACGTGACTTTGCACGCGATAAGAGAATATAGCCAGTTAACCTGATACAGTACACGCGGTTACAAGTAACAAATCACAACTAAATACATTTCCAAGCTAGAGTAAACGAGGCAACAACTTTAACCGCACGTACTTACACTTGAGAAATGGAGGAAGAAACCCATCCTGACGTCCATCAGTTACTCTTTACTGATCCTTCCTTTAACAAACTCAGATGAAGTATTCTTTGTAGCATGTAGCTTCCAGAAGTTTCCAACTGCTTGGTTATAATGCTGATGTTTCATCTTTGGGTAGAGACTCAATATAATGTCCATCTGCAGTGTGACTTCAATCGACCGGCATGTTTGTGTGCGTGTGTTTGTGGGTGTGCGTGTGTTTGTGGGTGTGTGTGTGTGTCTGGGTTTCTGCGTCAGAGGGCGGGGCCTCAGGTTTGAAATCTCCCGGGTTTGCGCGTGCACGTGAATAACTTGGTTTCGTTCGTACGTCATGGCGAAACACCTAATGAGTCGGTATCAAGGCGACTCGCTTGAAGCACTATGAGTCGACTCTTTTATAGATGAATCAACCGTTTTAAACACTGTATTCTTACAGATTTAAGCCTTATCTGGATACTTCACTTCACTTAGAGCTGTGTTACACACTACATGGAGGGGAATTTTCAAAAACCCATAATATGGGCTCTTTAAAATCATATGACAGTCTGAATATGACCAATCAAGATCATAACAGAAGATACATCTTATATCTTAGTTAATTATAGAATTACAAACATTCATGCAATTTTTCAATTATCATAAAATGATCATAACAAATATCAAATAAACTTTTCTGGCTCTAAAGAGATTTTCACAGTCAGTTGTTCTTATTTGAATTCCAAAGAAAATAAATATTTTAAACTGATTTGATCTCTCTGAGCACATCAAATCCACTGTGTTTTACTAATTGTTCATTGATTTATTCAGGCATCTTAAGCATGCAAATACGTTCCTAATAGCAGAGGCATTTACAGGAAACAAGCAACTGTCTTCTACAGCTTAAATGAAACTTACACTGGAAATGAGTTTAAAATGAAAATGGTTAGTAGAGAATTTTTAAATAGGCAAAACCGATCAATTATCAATATTAATTATCAATAATATTTTTTATTTAATAAAACAAAGAGCAGTGCAGCACCAGCTTTCTTTATAATAGTTTGACAAAGATTACACAATAATGTTAACCTACAACTTATCAATATTGGATGTAAGTGAAAATTTAAAGTATAAAGGTTGTTGCTTTTAGATGCTGGAGAAAACCAGAATACCACGGTTCTGCAAAAAAGTCTTTTAATTAGTCTAAAAAGATTTCTTTATAATCACATTCCAGAAATGTTATATGTTAAAGGTTATTGCAGAAGTACCAGGTTATAAAAAACGAAAAGATACCGAAATTCAATCGAGCAGTTTACGTCATGGACACACACAGATGTGCATTTATATCTGCTTTCAGGAGGAAGAAATCAGATTTAGATTAGAGGAGACATCAGAGAGGTAAGTCGTGACTTCAGCTTGTTTAGTGCTTTTGTCTTAAGGTTGATAAAGCCTAAAAAGTTAATGCCATTTTAAGTGTCATTATGCCCTTTGAAAGTCAGTCTGCTAGTCAAGTTTTGAGTTTTGGTTATTTCAAAATTTGATTTGTTCAGGTGCAAACATGTGGGCTGAATATGACATGGGTTCTGCTGCTCCACCATGTCTTGAGAGTCACAGACAACAAAATAACAACGTGTCTACAGAATGTATCATGGCACTAGCAAAGGACTTTCGTCCATCCTCTGATGGCATGCTTGGACCTGGCGTCTACCTCAGCCGAGATCTAGAGAAGGCCTCCAGATACCCTCTGAACGTACCTGAGAAAGACCGAGTTATTCTGATGGTTAAAGTCAATGTTGGGAGAGTGAAGAGGATTGACCGCCAACGTCATCCACTGCAGAAAACCTGGCATGATCATGGGTACGACACTGCCTGGTGCCCTCCAAACTGTGGCATGGTGCCAAGTGGTCTTGAAGAAGATTGTGTTTGGGATACAAAACGAATCACAGTCATTTATGAAATACGCCCAAGATCACTAGAGCATTTAATGTTGATTCACCTAAAAGATTTTGACAAAGCCTTTAATTTAATTAATTGTTCTCATTACTTTTTTTGAAAATGTTGCATGTTAAATTGTCAAGTGTTTTTCAATTTTAAACATTGTAATAAAAGAATGAAGAATAAATTACTCCAGTTGCACAGTTGGTTGAAGACAAAAGGTATGACATCTAGCATGGAAAAAAAAACTAGTTGTGAATTGTGCAATATCTGCTTACTTTTAAATGTTATTAGATCAAAACAGATACCATCTTATGTTTTTATTCGGTATGGATTTCTCAGCAACACAAAAGTAATGACTTCATGAATTTCTTTGCCTGCAAGACTAATAATATTAGAAACAAATCAGTACCATGCAACAACCTGTAACATCATTGAGGTAATTAGTGTACTGTATTACCTAAAGAAAACACTTCAGCCCTTTTTTAGGGGAGGAAGAACTGTTTAAATAGATTAAGTTTAACAAATCAACAGCATACCATATGCTAGATCAGATACATTTTACCTTTCAATCTATTAAAAGAAATGAAGTTTCTAGAGTGGACCATATTGTTAATTTAATGAATTCTAGATTTGACATAGCCTGTTATATAAAAATAGTTATAATATTTTTTGTTTGTTTTTAACAAGGATGGTTCTAGGAAATAAAAATTAAATTTCCAAGCACAAAAATGACCCTGCAGGGGTACAAATGACCTTCTCTTATAGCAGTGATTCTCAAACTGTGGTACGTGTACCACTAGTGGTATGCGAGCTTACTTCTAGTGGTACGCGGAGAAATCACTGAGTAACAAAAGAAAAAATGAATAAAATTGTAATCATTTGATGCTTACGATAACACCAATGTGATCAATATTCGTTGTTCTCTAAAGCCTATGATCAAAGCGTTGCGCTTAGAATGTTTACTTTAGTGTAGTATTAATATCTATTTAACTGGCACAGAACAAGAGAAAGAGGTGCGTGGTGCTTGCAGAGCAGATACTGTACGTGCTAGAGCAGTGGTTCCGAACCCTTGGGCCACAGACCGGCACCGGTCTATAGATCAACTAGTACCGTACTGCACAAAAAAAATCATTAATAATTTCAGTTTTATTTATAATCTGAACAATCTGAACAATCATTTATTTTGAAAAATCTTTTATTTTGAAAAATGACCATGTTCTCTTGTTACATCTCAGTCACTTGAGTGCCAAAATTCAACCCACAGGCTAGCAAAATAAGTAAGAACTGCAGCATGAAGCGCTTGCATATTCCAGGTGTCCTCAGTTGAAAACATCTTAACTTTTCAGAATGCCACACCCCAAGTCATGTGATAAGAACAGACTGATCAGCTTCATATTTTGTATGGAATATAATTTTGTTGAATGACTATGACTCTGCTTCGTTTTTGAACTGTGCAGTGCTGTAGCTGCTTAATTTGATCAACAACGCTACTTTATTTCAATACTGGTCATTATGGTGGTACTTGGAGAGCCAATATTTTGGTACTTGGTTGAAAAAAGTTTGAGAACCACTGTCTTATAGTATTATTGAATCTCAGTGCTGCATTTGATACTTACCACAACATTCTCCAGGATAGGCTTGACAATTATTTTGGAATTACTAGGACATTGCATTGTCATGGTCCAAATCACACCTATCTAATTGATCAGTTTGTAGCAGTAGTGAAGGAATATCATATCGATCACAGAATCATTCCAGTGTACCACAAAGATCAGTTCTTTGACCATTATTTTTAACATTATATGTACAGAGATATATAAAAAATATATAAAAACACAAAAATGTTTTTGCTGTTACACCAATTATAGCCTCTAAATCTCCTAAAAGACCAACAATATGTTCAAATTCCCTTAAATTCACCCTGTTCATTATTAGTGACAGCATCAAGGGGTTGTACAATAGAAAACGAAAATATAAACAGCATATTTTCAATTAAGAAGCTGTATTATTTACAGAAGTGTTAATAAAAAAAAATCACACAAAAAGAAATGTAAAATGCAGGAAAATAACAACATAACAGTATAAAATGTATTCTACAGTATGTTTTTGGCCTGGGTGCCACGATGGCGCAGTGGGTAGCACAATCTCCTCACAGCAAGAAGATCTCTGGTTCGAGTTCCGGCTGGGTCAGTAGGCGTTTCTGTTTGGAGTTTGCATGTTCTCCAGGTGTTCGAGCAGTCCAATGACGCGGTACAGGTAAATTTGGTCACCTAAATTGTCCATGGTGTATTTGTGTGAAAGAGTGTGTATGGGTGTTTCACAGTGTTGCGGCTGTAAGGGCATCCACTGCATAAACATATGCTGGATAAGTTGGGGGTTCATTCGATCCCTAATTAATAAAGGGACTAAACGAATGAATGAATGTTTCTGACCTTGAATTACAAGAATTACAAGAAAAATAAATGACAATAATTTAATCATGAACAGATTAGAAAAAAAATACATGCAGTTTAATAGCAAGTGTTTTTATATATTTTGTATTTATTATGTTTCTTATGTATTTAAAAGATTAAACTAAATATTTTTTTTCAAATTACGTCAACATAAAACAACTTACAATCTTATTCAATTAAAAAGCAGTTATATTTAATTTAACACTGTTAATGAGAACAAATTACAACAAAGGATTAAATTCACGGTAATGTCTTTTCTTTTAGTGATACAGTTAGGAGAGTTTCGGTACATGTGCAAATTATAGATTCTTTACTTTTCACTTTTACTTTATTTATAAAGCGCAACAAAACAACAGTTGTTGACCATTATGCTGCACATACAGTTGAAGTCAGAATTATTAGCCCCCCTGAATTATTAACTCCCTGAATTATTAGCTCCCTAAATTATTAGCTCCCTGAATTATTAGCCCCCCTGTTTATTTATTTCCCCAATTTCTGTTAAATGGAGAGAAGATTTTATTCAACACGTTTCTAACCATAATAGTTTTAATAATTCATTTCTAATAACTGGTTTATTTTATCTTTGTCATGATGGCAGTAAATAATATTTTACTAGATATATTAAGACACTTCTATACAGCCTAAAGTGACATTGACAGGCTTAACTAGGTTCAACTGTAGACTATTGAAAAAAATATAGCTCAAAGGGGCTAATAATATTGTCCTTAAAATCATGTTTAAAAAATATAAACTGCTTTATTCTGGCCGAAGTAAGACAAATAAGACTTTCTCCAGAAGAAAACAATATTATCAGACATACTGTGAAAATGTCCTTGCTCTGTTAAACATCATCTGGAAAATATAAAAAAAACAAGAAAAGAAAATTCAAAGAGGGGCTAATAATTCTGACTTTTACTGTACCTTGGGTTAAAAATGATCAAAAGTAGACAAGATATAAAACAGCACACAGTACAACCAACATAACACAAAAAACATTGAATGCATACAGCAGAAACAAACATAGGCACAATCAGATCAGTTTCATCCCAATTAAAAACCTTTTTCTCAGAGAAGTAGTTTGAGTTTCTCTTTGAACAAGGACTCATTAGAGATTGCTCTAATACACATAGGTGCCTAGTCCACATTTTAAAACCTACTACAGAAGAAGGCCTGGTCTTCATTTTTCTTAAGCTTGGATCAGGGGACTTTTAACATTTTCTGGTTCGACAACCTTAAACATCTGCCAGATATTTTAACAGTAAAGAGATTAGAAAGATAACACTTTTTTTTCCCTTCAAGTTATCACTAATATTTATCTATTATTATAACTTCTATCAATTATCATTTTCTATCTATTTGTTTATTTTTTATGATTGTAAACATTCTATGTAAATGTTATTTGTATACTATGTTTATAAAAACTTTAATAAAAGCAGAGTTAAAAAGCAATTGCATTATAAAAGTCCAAGCGTGATGATATAAATGCATGAATTATTCTCTCGAAAAAAAGCCTTTCACTCTGGCTAATAATCTCAACTGGAAAAAAAACAAGATTTAATTACTGCATTTAGCTGTCTGTCAAATAGATGGGCAGAATCAAGGATAAAACCTAGATATCCGACAAATGGTTTAATGTAATCGGATAAATTGTCCAGCATTTGAGCCAGCTAATGGTTCAAAGACAATTGCCTCAGTCTTCTTCTCATTTAGTTAAAAAAAATTCTTTACATCCAAGCATTAACCTCTGACAGACAGGTTCATCACAAAAAATATTTAAGGTATATAAACACCAAGAAAAAAGTAATTTTAAGGCTAAACTTTTCAAGATATGCACAAATGTAAGCGACACATGTGAGCGATGCCATTCTGCTAAAGCAGATTTGGCTCATATGTTTTGGGCATGCCCTAGCAAAATAATCTTATGTCAAAAGGAAAAACAAGATTATTTTGCTTACTCCACTGGCAGATTAATTTGCTTGTTTTAAGGTAAAACTCACTTAATATTGGCATATTATTTCTCAAAACAAATTAGAAAATTTTCCTTTATTTAGGATTTTTTTTTAGATATTTGGACTTGAAACTAGACAAAAAATAAAAATAAAAAAAGCATTTTTTGCAGTGCAGTGTAGAATTGTCTTGCACTTTATTAGCACGAAAAAACTGCTAATGTTGAGTTGATAGGGCAGCTGCTAATTGTTTTACTTTTTGATCTCGTTTGGCACCAGTGTAAGAGCTGAAGGCCTGATGCTTTGTTTCATTATGTCTTATAATAATATATTCCTTCATTACTGCAACTGATTCCTGGCAAATTAAACAGATACATTTCCCACTGACCTCTGTGAAGAAATATTCTTTGCTCCAATGTGACTGAAACTTCTTGCACTGACTGTTGATTTTCCTTTTTCTTGGTGCACCAGGGCTCGCCAAAATGTGATTATCAATAATGTTTCCTTCAGTTTGGTCGGTTAGTTTTACATCATAACAAAAAGTGCTGCCCAATGGTGCTGCCTAATTGAAGGAATGTAAAAGCGACACCCGGTGGTTATTTATTGAATTACGTTCATTTTTGTATAGCGGGCCAGATTCTATTAATAGGCTATTTATAAAAAGCCTCGCGGGCCGCCACAAAAAAAAAAAAAAAAAAAAAGAAAAAGAAAAAAAGTAGTTTTGAAAGATCATGTGCAAATTTATTGACAACAATCTAATTGACATACATTTCTGCACGGCTGATTTAAAAAAAACAATATCCTAAATTAATTTCTCAGCATCACCTCACAGATATAATCCATTAACTAGTTTGGAAATCTGAGCACCTGTTACTTCCCGTTTCTTTGGCAACCGTGTTTTTTCATGAAGGGGCAAATGGATGCCCTACAGGACCAGCATTTCTCCATCTTGTGCTTATCCTGTGTTTGCATCCCACAGCCCTTACACAGCTTCATGCCTTTCCCATTCGGGTCTTGGGATTGGCTTTTCTGCTTTATGAGACTCTCCAGGGAAGCCTTAGTACTGGGGTCTGTGCAATGGGCTATTCCAGTCACAGTAATTCTGTTTGGGTCCCAAACACAATCCTCCTCAAGTGCCACAAAAGAGCCAGTGGCAGGTAACCAGGCCGTATCATATCCGTTCTGATGCCATGATGTCCACATGTTAAGACTTTGGCTGTCAATCCTCTTCACTTTACCAACTCTCACTCGCAGCTTTAACACGACTCGGTCATTGGGAGCACATGCTGGGTAACCCATTGCTTTGTTAATGTCTCTACTACAGTAGACTCCGGGGCCCAGAGTTCCCCCAGAAGAGGGACGAAATCCTGTTGATATGATGGCTGGGGCATTGCTTTTGAGAGTCCCGTGGTACATAATGTAGCCATGATTCTTTTTGGGTTCTTGACCTGGCTTAAGGTGCTTTGATTTATCACAATATGCCTCCCATCCACTGAATTCCACCGGCATTTTTGCAATTGTCCGACGATTTAAGAAGCCAGTAACCTTTGGATGCTCCGTTCAGAGACTGCGGTTCCTACACAACACAAAACATTACTGGATTTAAAGTCAAATTAAAAGTAAAAATGCATTGAGCTGTTGTCCATGAGTTATAATGAAGTTGCTTTATGATAAAGTTGGGATTATTTTAGAGCAATAACAACAGGCAAGTACAACAGATAGAAATACAAACAGAAGGACAGCACAAACAATACAAATATTACATTTTTGCATCAAGAAAAATATGACAATTTTAAAGAAATATTCACATTGTGAAGCAAAAGAAAGACAACGAGAAAGAAAAAGTAGAAACAATAAAAAATAAATAAAATAAGAGAGGGCACATGAAAAATAATACAAATTAATGCAGAATATTAAACGAAGCACATGCTTTATACATTTTAACTGCATTCTTGTTATGAGACTCTGTAATGGTTTTCAAGTATAGTTCAAATTCTCGTTTAAAAAACACAACATTTGGTTTACGTGGAGTATAGTTACACTTATGTATAAAAAAAACTTCCAATAAATAAAATGAGGTTACTTGAATTAAGGAATTGTTTTTCTTTAATGTAAAACTTCAAAATAATATGTCTATAGCTTTAAGAAAAATCACCACAAACCTTTTAGACAATTAGAGTGTTCACATCAGAGACAAACTTAACAAAGGAACATTCCCAAAATAGTTGGGAATAATTTGTTCTAAAGTGTTTTATAAAATAAGTGTTGAATAAAAATCTAACTGTTGAGTATAAAACCTCAAAATAACCTTAAAAGCAGTTAGACGAGAAGAGTATAATTCCCACACTGCTCAACCACGATTATGTTCTCAGTTTTTTATTACTGAAAATAAATATTTCTGCCATGTCAGTTTATTAAGATCATCTGTTTAATTGGCAGCAAAAACAATAATGCTCAGTATCTCGGAGGACGCCGAGCTGATATAACACGAATCTACACTTCCGTTTAAAAATGTAGTTTTACAAAGCCAGCATTGCCATTTATACCATGTTTTAGCTGCAGCACATTTATATTAAATTAAGATAAAAAAAAATCCACCAACCTTTGTGTTGTCACTGTGCCTAAACTTAAACAGAGAACGCCACTTTTACTTCCTTGATGACGTAACACAAAACACTTTCGCTTTCATTTTAATCACAGATTGTGGCTATATGCATATCATATTATACCAAACAGGCTTCTTGTATAAAGTTGTAATTTTTCGACATTCTAAATGTGCTTTAAGCGATGAATAAATGTTACCTATATTGTCCTACAAGTCCCCGAACATTGAGATAATTGTAAACACACTGGGACGTCAGTCAGTCGTGTAAAAGTGGGCGTGAATCGCGATCAGGTGCTTTGGCTGGCCAATCGGAGGGCTTTTGAGAAGCTTTCTGCCTGTCAATCATTTATCCACCCGCCTAAGCAAGTCCAAAAATGGGCAGCCGGAAGCCTGAAGCGCGAACCATAAAGATGCAGAGACCAAAATGCAACAGCTGCTGGGAAAAAAAGACGAGGTTGAACATTTTACAGTCTCTGGGCTGAACATGGGAGCAACTGAAACAGAACAGGAAAACCTCTGCTTGAAAATAGACGTTGAGTACCTGCTTCACAGGTAATGTTGGAACGAAGAATTAATTAATTAGTCAATCAAGTTTAGTCCTTCTTTATCTGTAAACTAGCCACTAAGTTGCCTCACCTGCGTCTGAAATCAGATTCATTGACTATGAAGGCCTCCTAACGTTACTTTAGTTTGCAACCACTTTAAATCCACACAAGATGCTCAGCTAAAATTATTGTAACGTTAGTAACTTTCCTTAAACTGTAAACAAATTCAAGTCTAATTCTAACCATTAGGCCACATTGCCCCTTTAGTATTAATGTAATAATCTCCGTGTATAAAAGTCAGCATGTTGTCAATAAGTGACTACTGCTTCGCCATGATCTTGTGGTGAAATGTCAATTGTTCTTAATTTTTCCCATATTTATGTTTTTGCCCTCTATATATTAGGAACATTTGTGATTTTGGACACTGCTCTAGTCTAGACTTTTTTGCATTTTTATTTAAACATAAGGTGGCTCGCTTTTTTGTTGTTGAGGAAATAGCCATCTGATTGGCGTAAAATATCCAACCACAGTTCATTTATTTCAACTATAACAGATGTCAACATTAGTTTAAAGTAAAATGATCTTTCTCAAACTACATTGTAGTCTTGTTAACTTATCGCTAGCTGTTTTTGTCATTATCTGATTACTGACCAAAAACAACAAATTCTGTTGTTTAATATGTTGGTTTATTTTATTCCATGAATGAAACAAGGGCAGAAACAACAGTGACAGACATGATTAAAGATACATTTTCTGATGGCATTCAGAAGATGGCATCGATACCTTTTCAAAACAACTGATCAAAATGGAACTATTTCGCAAGCTAATGTATTTTTGTTTTCACACACGCATTAAATAATGTACTAGGTGAACAGACTAAAACATTTATAAGCATTTTGTGTGTGCTGGAAAAAACATAACTGTGCAAATACATTATGGAATTGATTTACTTGCTTACTTTACATACAAATGCTTATACAGAGTAATGACAAAAAAAATTGTATTATGCGTTTCACTGAATGGACTGATGGCACAGTCACATTATTAACATTATTGTCAAAAAAGGATGTTTGGAAACTTTTCTAAGTAGCAATACATATGTTTGACAACTTTAGCCTTTTTCAACACTGTTTGTATCAGTCAAGAACCTAAAAAACTCTTTAACTTAATGCACACTCGACATGTGCTTGGCTAGACACGAAAAAGGTGTAAAGTAATCAATACCATCATAGAGGCAGCAACTGGTACTTACTTTATAGTAAAGGCAGAGCACGTAGATCGAAAAGCAGTTCTAAAAGTACTCAAATATGCTGAGAAATCTAAAGTAACACTCTGCTGTATATACTGCAACAGATTGTGTATTAAAAAGCTTCCCATAGTTGTATAATGCACACAGGGAGCAGAAGACTGAGCCAAGGATAACCTAGCAGAAACACGCTGATGGCAGAGCAGGGCTCGATACTGCCTGGAAATCAAAAACAAATTCAGGGTTAGACAGAGAATATTTTAATTCAAGATTTATATAGTGATGCTGTAAGGATTGATCTCAGCTGCTGTACCTAATTCGACAAATAGCGTCCTCTGGACCTTAGTTACTTTGCAAATGAACGTTGTATTCTCAGCGATGGTGAAGCTCATAATGGTGAGCCTGAAGCCGTATGGTTCAAGTTCTGTCACAAAGGTGTTGTGCCGAAATCTGGGTTCAGGCATGATTCCAGAAATGTTGGTGTTTATGATGATCTCCTTTTGGCCTTTGGACATGGAGAACTCAAAGTCCGTGTGGAAGCTGTGTTTGGGCTCCAGAGGGCAGTCCACTCTGAGGTCATTATCCTCCTCTTGACAGACTGTCATGATGCTCTCGTCATCCTGACACAGCGCTGGGGTCATCAGAACTGAAGATGAGATATAAAGGAGTCTGTTATTTAGATAGTTGATGTGTCTGGCTGATACTTTTAAAAAGGTTCTTCAAAAGAAAAGTTTCCCAAAAATGCTATTGTGTCATCATTTACTAAGTCCTCTGCCATAACAAACCTGCCCTGTTAACAAATTCCTGGCAGAAGTTCCCAGCAACTTACTGTAAATCCATTACAGCTACAATACTGTATTTACATTTACAGTATTGTTTATCTTGCTCAACACAGTTTTTACAGAATAGTATGTATCTTTACTGTAGAATATACAGCAATTTAAACAATTCAACATTAAAATACATAAAACTGTCATACAACAAAACAGTTCACCTTACAGTTAAATACTTTTTTAATTTACAAAAACAGTAAGTTAACAGTGTGACTATTTTTTGTGATAAAAAAGGGTGAGTTATTGACCAATGACTTGTATTCGATATAACCAAAAGATTTAGAAAAAATAATAAAAAAAAAACATGTTAAATGGAAAATAGGTTCAAAGATAAAAAAGATGAGTTTGCACACAACAAAACAATAGCATATAGCTTTTAAAATCAAAGTATTCTTATAGTATATAGATTTTACAAACGATAAACTTTTTATTCCTAAAAATCTTAATAAATAAATTGATGACATATTAAAAGACTATCTAGGCATCATCAGCCGCAAAATGCGAATAATTTTTATTCCAAATCTTTATACTTACAATCAGCAGAATTGACCAAGTGTCAGTAATGTAGTAGACCCTTTTAGAGACATTTTTAAACATTCAAAATATAGTGCAAAAATTAATATTCTCATTTTATTTATATATTTTAATACAGTTCAGACTAATATGTTGTTTAATTTTTACATGAATATGTATCTGTAACACTGAATGACAGCATTACCTTATTTGTTATTTTCCACATATTTTGACATTTTATTTTAAAAAAGAATATGCTCTCTTCTCAAATAAAATTATTTAAAGAAATTGATGTAGAAAACTAAATGGGACATCTCATCTTAAACCTATATATTTATTGTGCTTTTATTCATAGAACTAGAAACAATTATTTAAAAAATATACAGTTTTATTTATAGAATACATAATTACAGGGGAGGAAAATAAGTATTGAACACAGAAAAACTTTTCTCAGAAAACATATTTCTGAAGTTGCCGTTGATTTGAAATTTTTCCCAGATGTTGGTAACAACCATAGAAATCCATATATGCAAAGAAAACAAATATTAGTTTACAAATTAAGTTATGTGTAATAAGACGAAATGAGGCAGGGAAAAAGTATTGAAAACATGAAGAAAGGAAGGTGTAGAAAGTCAGTGAAAGCCCAGAAAGCCGCTGAAATTTCTCAGTAGTTCTTCAGTCTGCCCTTCCTTATTGTGAATTAATATTAGCTGTTTCAGTCTAACATCTACGTTATCAGGATGATCACCTGACTTGAATCCAATAGAAATTACAAAATATAGATCAGATTTGATAGACGAGACCTCAAGAATTTTACATTCTGTTGAAGTCTGTGAAAAACTCACAGCTGAGCAATTCATGTGACTTCATTCTCTATATGAGGCGTCTTTAAGCTGCCAGCACCAAAAAAAACTTTTATGTAAAGTATTAAATGCATTTCAGTAGTTCAATACATTCTCTTTGTGTCATTTCATTGTTATTGCACATAACTATTTTTTCCACATTTTTTCAGTTTTGTTTTATTTTTATGATTGTATTGTTTGGATTTTTACCTAAATCTGGTTCAATTCCATGTCAACAGCTCCTTTAGAAATATCATTCCAAGGAAAAAAACATGACATGTTCAATACTTATTTTCTCACTGTACATATTAATTGCTGCCTTGTACTTTTACATGTGTAATGACAATAAAGTAGAATCTAGAAGAGTTATGTTAATTCTATATTTTATGCTATTATCTGATAATTTACATTAGAGTTTAAAATAAAACCGTCACATATGGCAGTAAAAAGAATAAAATTTCGTGAATTGTTTAATGTTAAGATGGTTTCTTATAAGCAATATATATAAAACATATTAATCATCATCTTACCTCCCAGGACAAGAATCCACATTAACATAGAATAAGATGTGTTCATCACAAAACTCTAAGTAGAAAAAGAAAGAACATGGTCAAAACATATAAGCACATGTATTTTTATTATATTTCAATTGTATTATTTCACTACATTATAGCACTGTTGTGTTAAAATAACCAAAATAATTAAGAGGATGCCAGATCATGTGAAGGTCTATATAACCTTCCTGTTTAAAGCAGTGCTCCTTAAACTGTCAGCTTTGCAATAAATATCTAATCTACAAAATCTAAATTCAGATACAGAATAAAATGACTGAGAAGTAAACCGACTGTTAAACAGACCTGCATTTTAAAATGTTTAGACTTCTCCATGTTGACCATCCATCAGACAGTGCTGTAGCTCCACCTAACTGTCCCACACAGCACTTCACCACTGCAGTGAAATGCAGCAACCCCTCCCATCTGTGCTGCGCTCATGCAGTGTTTCAGACCAATACATAGAAGCACACCAGATATACCCATGTTTGTCTAATAATTGTCCATTCACCTACCCACAAAAAAATAAAATACCCCAATGAGAATCACAAAGACCTTCTATGGCCTTCATGAACCCAAAGTCTTTCTTTAAGGCTAAATAGACAGCATGCAACATTTGGCATGCAGTACTCTGACAGGATGTACCTTATTTTTCATATTATAAAAGCTGATCTCTGTGTAATCCTCAGTAACAGGCCAAATCGTATTATGAAATCCTGTGATATTATTCTTTTGTTGCCTGAGCAAGCATGACATCATCTTTTGACATCAGATGTTTACCTTTATGGTTGTGCTGTTTTAATCCCAGGCTGTGATGCTTTTCCTTTGGCATGAAGACCCTTTCCGGTGGTGTATAAAGCTTTAGCCGTGTGAAGAGTGGAGGGGAGAGAGGATGTCTGGTAGGAGAGACGGAAAACGGTTTGTCTCCCCCTTTTGAAAGTACTAGAAAATGCTATTTTGCCAACATTCACCATAGAGTCCCTATATACTTAGAAATGTAGAGCATTTGAGAGTTCAAAAGATCAGCATTTGCTTAAATAAGTCAGATTTTGTAACATTACGAATGTCTTTACTACACTTTAATGCATTTTTAAATGAATTAAATCATTCATTTATTTAAAGATTACATGCACAACCTTTTTTTGTACAGTAGTTTTGTTTAGTACAGTTTTTGTCACAAAATTCAACAAACATCACTTTACAGCATTAATTGTGAACTATCAATTGTATTTAAGAAAATGTCAAAATAATTAATGATTGCTCCTGGTTAGTTTATGAATAAATTAGGGCTGGGCTGATAAACGAAAATTTTATTGAAACGTGATAAACTTTATGTCAATAACAATAATAAGCACTGGACTTTTTTACTCTATATTGATAGAGCCAGTCACACAACAGAAGCATATAACAATGAGAATCTAGAAGTGTGGATATTAGACATGCACCGAATTTTTAGCCCCCAAAAATTATCGGCCACCAAAAATAGGTTATGCTATTTATTGGACACTCTAATTTGTGGCTTCAGTCATTGTTGGGATAGTCTTTTAAATCTGGAAGCATTAAAAACTGATATGGAAATATACACTAGCGGCCAAAAGTTTGGGGTCAGTATTTTTTCAAATGTTGTAAAATAAGCTTATCCTGCTCACCAAGGCTGCATTTATAAATTGTAAAATAGTGAAATGTTTTTGCACTATAAAATAATTGTTCAAAAGTAGTTGTTCAAAAGTAGTCGAAAAAAACTGACCCCAAACTTTTCACTTTAGTGTATATAGTTATTGTTCAATATGGAAAATAATTAATTCAGATTGCATTTTTGCCATACTGCCAAGCTTTAAAATGAATGTATAAACTACTCTGTAAAAAGTGATAACTTAAAACAATTGAGTAAATCCACTGCCGTAAAAGTGACAAGTTAATTTTACTTTAAAAAGTGTACTGTAATTATGTTGTATCTTACAACTGTAAAGTTCACTTACCTTAATTGTTTAGAATTACGTACTAGGCATGGGACAATAACCGATTTTCAAGGTGTACCATGATTCAGAAAAGTCAAGGTTTTAAAACCACCAACATTTTTTGTCATACCGTTCCTACCGTGTATTTAAGTTTTGTTTTTTTAACATTTTTTAACAACCACTTCATTTAGATTTTTAGCCTTTTAACCGCACAATGTTAATGCACAGACACAAATTTAGTTTTGTTTACTTACTGTATTTATTTGTGTTAATTAAACCAAATATAAAGTATTTTTAGAAACATAAGAGCATTTGCACACACCTTGTAGCTCCTAGTTTCTTGCATCTGTGTTTTTTTTCTTCGGGCAGAAAAAAATTCTCTTTCTGTGATTGGTCATGTTTCGCACTTTTTTTTTTTTTTTTTTTTACTGTATCTCGATTTACAGCTAATTAAAAATACTGTATTTTAATGGCACACATTTACTGTCAATGACATGTTTACTGTTCCAAAATATTCTTAATGTTTTGAATTTTTGAGGGGAAATTTGTTTTTTTTTTTAACCCAGAGAATTAAAAAAGATTATATTATAGAGCAGTAATTACAATACCGTGAAACCGTGATATTTTTAACCAAGGTTATCATACCGTCAGAGTCTCATATTGGTCCTTTTACGTACATAGGTTATTTTCTTAATAATGTTAAGGCAATGGGTTTACTTGCTTTTTTAAAGTGAAGTCAACTAAACACAGTGTACTGTTTAGCTGTAAAAGCTCATTGTTAAGTGTTACCATACATTTGTATATACATCATTTTTATATACATTTGTATACCCAATAACCACTTTATTACTCGGCAAACAATTTTGTATTTAATAGACGTCTAATAGACATCTAAACATAGACAGCTGAAAACAAGGCTAAACTTGGTCTGTCAGTGAAAATCTAATAGACGTCTAAGAATAGCCCCAAACTAGACTAGTCGTCATGTAGACACATTAGACAGACTTTATATGTGTAGTCATTCATTTCTGTTAATTTAATGACTAGTCTAGTTTTGGCCTGTTTTTAAATGTCTATTAGTTTTTCACTGACAGCCCCAGTTTAGCCTTGTTTTAGCCAAGACGACTATGTTTAGATGTCTATTATATATCTGCAAAGCATTGCTGGGTAGGTATGTTCTTTAACTGCTTTTTAATAGTCAGCAAATCACATGACATCAGTGCATTTATCCATGTAAACCTGGTCAAAACTATCCACTGAAGTGCAAACTGAGCATCAGAATGCAGAAGAGAGTTGTTTTAAGAGACTTTGAATGTGGCATAGTTGTTGGTGCCAGACAGGCTGGCCTAAGTTTTTCAGAAACTGCTGATCTACTGGGATTTTCACACAGCCATCTCTAGGGTTTTCAGACAGTGGGCTGAAATGAAAAAATATCCAGTCCTGTGTGTGGAAATGCCTTTTTAATGCCAGAGGTCAGAGGAGAATGACAAGACTGGCTCAGATAGACAGTGACTCAAATTATCACTTGCTACAACCCAGATCTGCAGAATATCATCTCTGAATGCTCAACACGTCAAAGCTCAAAGCAGATGAGCACGCTGCTGCCACTCCTGTCAGATATGAACAGAAAACTGAGGCTACGGTTCATACAGGCATACCAAGACTGTATCTCAGTATCTGCAGCTACATTTAGATGGCAGAATTTGTCATAAACAACATGAAAGCCTGAATCCATCCTGCTTTTTTATTCAATGGCTCATCATGCCTAGTGGTGCATTGGTGTGGAGGATCTTTTAGTACCAGCTGAGCATCGTTTAAATGCCACATTCAGATTTGTTGGTCCCTGACAGCTGTCAGTCACTTGGCCCCCTTGCGTTACATTTTTAAGTAAACATTGTGTGCTGTAGTGAACTTTTACTTTGTTACTTTACGCATTTTAATTGGAGGACAAATTAGCATGTAAAAGGCCTTTATTGTCAATTCGTAAGATATATCCAGACACATTCGGGACTGCAAAGATTTCAGTCAATCAGAAGAAGACTGACGCATCTCAAACGCTGTTTCTAGACAGGCGAATATCACACATGACAGTGTTTATTGTTGCTCTTCCTTCCGTGGGGATGAATGATTACTTTCAGAGAGTGACATCTCCAGTGTTTCCTCAGGTGACAAGGTGTGCTTTTTGAAAAGCTGTGACAGCTCATTGCTGAAGTTGAAAATTAATTCCACTGCTTCATTTTGAATTGTTAATCCGCCTCGGCTGATAACAATGCTTGTGGAGTATGAGGAGGATGTTTTACATTTGAAAGGATTTCAAAATAAGCCATGACAACCTGCCCTTCACATCAAATGAAGACATTAATTCAGCGGTAACCATACAAACGTTGCTCATTAATTTATTGCTTGGGACTGCCTACAAATTAAGATGAAAATCCCATATAATTACTAAAATGACACACAGTAACGGACAATACAACAGAGCTGTTTCACAATAATTATACATAAAGTATCACAATATGAATTTTAGAAAAAATAGGAATCTGACTCTACTGTCAGCTGCTTTCTTCATAGTTATAATTGCATTTACAATATAATAATATACATTTAAAAAAGTTGGGTGCTCCGGTTTCCCCCACAAGTTCAAAGACATGCACTACAGGTGAATTGGGTATAGGCTAAATTATCCATAGTGTTTATGTGTGAATAAGTGTGTGTGGGTGTTTCCCAGTGTTAGGTTGCTGCTGGAAGGGCATCCCCTGCTTAAAACAGATGCTGGATAAGTTGGCGGTTCATTCTGCTGTGGTGACCCCTGATTATTAAAGGGATTAAGCCGAAAAGAAAATGAATAAATGAATTACATTTAAAAAAGATTTTTGCTGCTTTTGTTCAAACTACTGATTTAAAATGAGCTGATACAACACAATTCTTAAGATCTTTTTGGAACAACTTAATTGTTTTATGTTCAATCAACATACATTTTTGAAAACAAGTAAGTTAATGTAATAGATTTGCATCTGATTTGAGTTCAGATGCTAAAACCTCTCAGTGTCTTCTGAAATTTCAGTCAAAAATTTACATTTTTCTCAGCCTTCTTTGTTTATGTTGAGTTTTTTTACTTTAAAGGCCATGAAAACAACTTGTTTTTTGCCATAAAAGTGAAATTACTGAACCTACACATAGGAGTCTGATAAAAATCACGTTTTATAAGAAAATTTTAGATGGCATTTGGAGGTTTTTGCATCTGAACTTTACATTTAGTTTCTGTTAAATTACTTTAAAGCATTTTAAATGACTTTACTTAGTTTTTACATCTTTATGTTTTTCCCCACTTATCTTAGTTTGGTTTATCCCGGGTCGATATATTCCATATTCATTATAAAAGCACAGACATATTATCGTTCAAACATTGTACACTGCACTCTCAGAAATAAAGGTACGTGAGCTGTCACTGGGGTGGTACTTTTCCAGAAGATACACATTTGTTGGACCCTTTAGGTACAAATGTGTAGCTTTAAAAAAGGTACCACCCCAGTGACAGCTCTCGTACCTTTATTTCTGAGTGTGCAGTGCAAATCTGAACTGCATGTCCATTAATAAACACCAGAGGGAGATGTTGGACTGTTTACGTTTGGCACGCGTTCGATCGGAGTCCTTTAAATGTATATTCCTAAACACTTAACCAGTCAGACTTTGATAAGTAATCACGCATAAAAGCTGATCAGTAATAGACAGCACTGATGAAACGCAAAGAACTATTGCCAGGCCCCCACTTCTGTTTACTTTGTTCTCCTGTGTGCAGTCGAACTCCGCCAGGAGCTGTGATCCATTAATCGTATTGTCCTTAATCACCGGACGAATCAGACGAGTCGAGCGCAACTTTAAATCACTTGCTGATCAACAGACGTTTTCTAGATACTCTTTAGCCAGGACTAGACTTTTCTGTTTGGTAAAGTTATACGACGAGTTTTCGCTGACAGACGATGCTTTCAGAGACTTTAATCAGAGGCGCACGGATGAGGAAAATCGCTCCAGGACCTCAGAGCAACAACTGAGCGCACAAAATCCGTTCGCCCTCTCTAGTCTGGAGAGCAAGTGGACAGAGACCTCAGGTTTATGTTGTTCATTCTTCTTTAATCTCAGGGCTTTAAGCTGATTTCGGTTCGATCCGCTGCCCACGCGCGCACTTCAAAGCGCGCCTCAATGCGCGTAACTGCTTCGCGGACCCTGAGTGTGGAAGGGTTCGGTCCAGAGCGCGGTGTCCGTCCAAACTTCAGATTAACAAGTGAACATCCGATCACCTTCCTCTTTCCTGTCACAGCTCTGCGAATGGGAATACTGGGCTATTGTTCTCTTATGGATTGCGTTCTCTGTTAATCTCACATCGCATCACTTCTGTTGAATTCACTGCATCTTGAACAGGACCATGATGTTTATAAATTTGCTTCTACGGCTGATGTGCGTCTTTTTGATAGGTAAGAGAGTATCTGCCTTATCACATGCGTGACTCTTTCTTCTTAATGGTTGGCTGTTTTATTTATCATTACATTGTCCATCGTGGTATTGCCCAAAATTGCTTCTGAAAGTCCAAAATTCACTTTGGAAATAAGCCTATATTTGTAAAAAAAAAAAAAAAAAAAGATTTAAAGCATGAAATATTATTGTTTATTGTTAGTAGTAGAGTAGTCATGGTAATAATAACTATTTAAATAACAATAATAATATGTTCAAGTGTTGTTAATATAATAGTAATAATTAATAAATCAATCTTAGAGTTGCTAAAAAAAAAACTTAAAGATCGTTTTTTTAATATAAAATATTATTTTTTTCTTCAAAATTATGAGTAGAGCCTCTATTACTCCTTTATTTGTACCTGATTCCCCGGACCCCGCAAGGAAGTACTATGGGGGCTATGATAATATTTGGAGAAAAGCATTAAAATAATGATAGTAAAAATTACACAATACAAAAAATAATTAAAAATGTTCAAATGTATACATATACTTTATTTAAATTTGCAAAATGTTCTTAGGATTAATAAACAAACACACATTAGCATTAAAATAAACAATAAAAAATTGATTATGTACTATGTATGTTTAGAATATGATTGTTTAAATAAATCAATTATATAAAATTGATGAAAATGAATGCTTAAAAATTTAATTAAGCCAGTAATTGCAAATTTACAAAAAAATAAACTCACAAAAATTATTAATAAAAGTAAATCAATAAATAGGATACAGTACTAATGAGTAAAGCTGTAACTGAACAGAAAGATAATATTTTCCAAATTTTAAATATTTCTCATGTATTACATGATTTGTTTACAAAGAAAAAAAATATATGTTTTAAAGAAAATATGCATTTGCTTTTAGCATTTTTAGATAGGTGCCATATTTGGCTCTCTGTTGCATCTAAAAGATGGAAACCCTGATATAACTATTTGTTTAGATCATGGGTGCCCAGACTTTTTCTTATGAAGGGCCAAGTACCAAATATCTTTGAGAGCCATGGGCTGAAGGTAAATTATATTACATTATTATTATTATTATTATTATTATTATTATTATTACATTAAAGTTACTTCATAATATTAAAATATAATAGTAAAATACTTTTTGATAACTAATGCAGTATAATTTTTAAATTATAATATATTATGATAAGTACATAAACATCACATTTGCATTGCATTGTCCTCTGTCTGCTGACTGACAATATGTATTTAAAAAAAATCTGATTCCTTTACAACATTTAATTGAAACATTTCATTTTAGTTCACTTTTTGTAGCTCATCAATAAAACAAACAAACAAAATGTTACATTAAATTAGAAGTGACAGTCTCTAATCCATCCATATCATTCTTCCTTTCTTCTCTGATGGGATGGCGGGCCAAATCAAAGGTTACCATGGGCCAACTCTAGATTGGGCACCTCTAGTTTAGTCTTTATATTGATCAGTATTGTTGTTTTTCTGATGATTACCAGTTATTTGTGCTATAATACTCTTAATTCAGAATCCATTTTCATCTCTGCTTTCAACACTATATTAATTAAAAATCACACAGACACTGTTATATGCTGTAGAATATTCCAGATGACATCATACACCGATGACAAGTTCCATATCAGTAAAATATCAGTGTGGCTTTACAGTAATCCTTCAGAAAAGAGCATAATGAAGCGTCAAATATGTCAAAGGGTTGCTCTTAAAAGTTCAAAAGTATTTCAAACTGTATAATTCTCTTTATCTTTACAGCTTTTAGCTTTCAGAATTGAAATATAATCCTAATTCATGCGAGACAAGAGTCTGGTTGAGCATGGATCGCCATAATTGCATCCGTTCTGCCGCTAAACGTGCTGTTATACTGAGCTACAGTCACCAATGCATGTGGTATCTGAATGTCAGCTGGTGATGTAAGAGTGAAGGGCTGCAGGAGTCTGCCTTTTTAACTCATGGCCTTTCTGCGATTTCTTAAGCGCCACTCTTAAGAAACATCTGGTCAATTGTGATTGTTTTTTTCGCGAAGAAAGCAATCCGATTGTGTTGGGGAATAAATCAACAGCTCAAGCAGTCACATGTGCAGCGTACTGGATTTGTCTGTATTGTGGGATTTGCAGCATTATTTTCCATGTTCTGTTTGTACTCCACTGTTGATGTATATATCAGCACTATAGTGAAATATTACAAGTATCTCTACCTTAGACCTAGCGGTTATATTATATTATATTATATTATATTATATTATATTATATTATATTATATTATATTATATTATATTATATTATATTATATTATATTATAGTTTAAATGTGACCAAATACACTCCACTACCTGACAAAAGTCTTGTCGTCGATTCTAGTTGTACGAGCAAATAATAATTTGACTTCTAGTTGATCATTTGGAAAAGTGGCAGAAGGTAGATTTTTCAGATGAATCATCTGTTGAACTGCATCCTAATCATCACAAATACTGCAAAAGGCCTATTGGAACCCACATGGACCGAAGATTGTCAAAGTATTCAGTCAAGTTTAGTGAAGGAAAAATCATGGTTTGGGCTTACATTCAGTATGTGCAGGAGATCTGCAGAGTGGATGGCAACATCAACAGCCTGAGGTATCAAGACTTTTGTGCTGCCCATTACATTACAAATTACAGGAGAGGGCAAATTCTTCAGCAGGATAGCGCTCCTCATACTTCAGCCTCCACATCAAAGTTCCTGAAAGTAAAGAAGGTCAAGGTGCTCCAGGATTGGCCATCCCAATCACCAGACATCATTATTGAGTATGTCTGGGGTAACATGAAGATGAGTCCAAAGAATCTTGATGAGCTCTGGGAGTCCTGCAAGAATGCTTTCTTTGCCATTCCAGATGACTTTATTAATAAGTTATTTGAGTCATTGCAGAGATGTATGGATGGAGTCCTCCAAGCTCATGGGAGTCATACACAATATTATTTTTTTCCCACTACGTCATGACTTTATATTCTATATTGTACATTATTTCTGTTAAGTGACAAGACTTTTTGTCTAAGCAAAGTCAGACCTTACTGTCCTGATTAAATAATTAAAAATCAAGGCAATTGAATTGAATTGAATTGAAAAGTAATCTAGAGGCTTTTTCTTTTTTTATAAAAGCCACTTCTGAGACCAAATGATCAACTAGAAGTCAAGTTATTATTTGTTATCCTATAACTTGGATCGGCGACAAAACTTTTGTCAGGTAGTGTAGTTTTGCTTATTTTTTAGACATTTTGTGCATAATTGAACATATTATTATTTTACTATGCTTTATATTAAGTTTCACAACTAAATATTGGTTGTGCAGATGTTGTTAGATTGATGTTGTCTGTGTTTTTTTAGTTTGTTTGTTTTTTTTTTTACACAAATTGTTTTGGATCAAGCTGTCTTATTTAGTCTTTTTCTTATTTATTTTTTCTTCTTGTGGTTATCTCAAACTTTAACGTCACTCGAGGTGAAAGTTGAGCATAATTGCGGAGCTGTTGACAGTAACTCCCACAGAAATTTTGTAAAATTTCATGTCAACTTGATCTTGAAAGATGCACAGCCAAGGAAACAGCAGGAAGTAATGGAGCTGGTGATGGAAAACGGAAAACAAATCTTTTAAATTGTTTCTAAGTTAATGCCTTACAATTTAGATTTTTACCCCTAAAAATTGAGAAATATAAAGTCAGAATAGGAAGTCATAAATGGAGAATAGTCTGATAAAAGCAACTTTATTTATTTACTTTACATCATGCAATTCTGAGCTATATGGTAAATTGTCTGTAGTGTATGAGTGTGAAAGAGTGTGTATGGATGTTTCCCAGAAATAAGTTGCAGCCGGAAGGACGTCCGCTGTGTAAAACATATGCTGGATAAGTTGGCGGTTCATTCCACTGTGGCAACCCCAGAGTAATAAAGGGACTAAGCTGAAAAAAAAATAATGAATGAATATCTCAGTGATGGTTATGTTTAAATGGGCTTGAAACCCCCCATTTTTTGGTTTAAGTGTACCTCAGACTTATTTCAAAAAATGCTACATGGTGAGCGTGGAGCGCTGTGAGCAGAGGGAAGAGTGGGCATGGCCAGCAGAGCAGGCGGAGAAAGAGGGGAGCGAGCAACTGCTGTCAGTTGGCTCACAAAATGAGACACAAACTGTGAGGAGACCCAAGATTTTATAGTTTAAAGTTAGAATGCAAAGAAATAAACAGTAAATAATTTAATGTCCTGCTAAATTTGTTATTCATACTTTCATATACACATAACCACACTTTGTTATATCATTAGATAATCATGACTTCTCTCCTCCTAAAGCCCAGGGTCTGAATGCAGACACAGTGGATAGCAGTGCAGGTCTCTTGTCCTGTCTATTTGAAAAATGATCCCTGCCGGTAATCTGGAGCATTTTAAAAATTGGCAAACACAGCAGCAGATATAGGCGATGTGTCTGAATAGTAACAAACTCTACTGATAAAAGACAACAACCACCATCCTCCAATTCTCATACAGCTCTCCCAACAAAAATGCTTGCTGCAAACCAACAGCTTTGCTGTTTTGACCCTGACAGCAAGCATTGTGGGGATAAACATGCAACAAACCCTGTGAATCATGGAAACAAACACATAACGTTATGATCCTTCATGAATGGCTAAATACTGTTTGCCATGCGCAGACTCTGTCTCACAGTTTGGCAGGTCTGCCTTGCCTTGGGAAAGCGCATACTCTCATGAATAATTAAGAAGCAGTGTCTTCTCATAAGATATGAAAACTCAGCTATGAATAGTAATAAAAAACTGACGCGTCTATACTTCACTAGCAGATTAAGGATATCTCACTGATTTTGATCCCGCCCCAGAAAAAGTACTCCAGGGTGTCTTGAACCTTAAAGGGCAGGTCTACTTAATATTTACTTCTTACTTTTTAAACCCTTTTGTACAGTTTAGATTGTTTGTGAGATCAGAGAATCTGCA